GCAGAGAGTGATGCTGGGGAGTGGAGGGAGCTGTGGGGGTCAGGGGAAGCTGCTCAGCTCTGAGGGAGAGGGGGCACGGAGCAGGGGAAGGAATGATGTTGCTTTCTGAAAAGACTTGAGTTTGTGTTGGGAAAAAGGTACTCACCCTTGAAAACAATCAGTGAGAGTGTCCTTAGTAGAAAATACCCATAACTGTAGGAACGAGAAACACAGGAGTATGTGCCCGAGTCTTCTGCCTGGAGGTTAGTCATGGTGATGGACACTGTCCCATGCATGGGGTCGTCCACTATTGAAACATTCCCCTTTGCGGCGCGGGTTGGGTATGGGTATTGTGTTGGGTACATCGTCTCCACTAAGAGGTCACATTGTCCATCTCTCACACGGCACCAGGCTTTCTGCTGGCGGTAGTCAGCCTGTGCTGTGTAGGGACAGTGGATATACAGAGTGCTTCCTTCTGACAGTCTTATCTCAGAATCAGGTGATTGGGCTTGGAGACCTGTAAATATCAGATGTGGTGAGGGAGAGGAGAGCTGACGCAGGGCTGTACACAGCCTCCCAACAGACATGGGCAAACTCTGCCTCCGACCTTCCCCCATGGGCACTTGTGGCTGGAGGAACTCTGAAAACTGAGATCCATTTCTCCTGCTAAATTCACCTGCTTGGCAACTGGAGGGTTGGTTTCTGGTGGGCAGTGTTGAGATATGAGCTGGGACCACAACTGTGATTTAAAACCCAGTATCTCTGATTTAAAACCCAGAGACATGTGGGTCCTAGAGGTGTTGGACCCTCAAGCCTAAATGGAGCCATGCGTGGCACAGGGTTTGGAGCTGCCCCAGCAGCCCACTCTGTTGTTACTGCCTGTTGCCGAAGGCGAAATGGAGACCAACCCCTCCCCACGCAGGGCATGGCAGTGGTGGGGCTCAGCTGCACCTCAGGAGTCGGGTGGCCATATGTATGGGATGCGGGGCCGGGGCAGAGGGAAGGAGCAAGGGCAGTGTGTGCTCTGGGGCAGAAATGCGCAAGCCATGTCTGGGCCTGAGCTTGCCCCCAGCAGCCTGCAGCTCCTCCGTGCTGCCTCCTCCAAGGATGCCCAGCGACTCAGGGGTGCGAGGCTGTGCTGGGTGCAGGGCTGCCTCAGTTGCCCAGCCTACCACATGCTGAAAGCTCTGTGCTTTCTGCTGGGACAGCAGGGGAGGCGGGCAGGGCCCCCGGACGGTTCTGTCCTGACCCAGGACAGCAGTCAGAGCAGCCAAGCGGGGCCAGCCAGTGTGATGGGAAACGCCGACTGAGAGAGGCGCTGGGGCTGCGTGGTTTGTCCTGCGAGCCTGGAGGACCCAGACGTGCGGTGGTGGGAAATCGGGGGTGCCCCTTCCCTCCCCATCCCTGCCGCGAGTTGCCCAGCTCAGGGCCCTGCCGGTGTGGGATTCCCCCGCACTGTGGGGCTTCACAGTGGGGAAGGATTTCCTACTCCTCCTGGGTGCATGGGAAGCCTGAGGCATGCCCAGCCCTTCTCTTACCTGGGAAGCAGAGTGGCAGCAGGAGGAGGGCTCTCAGCTCCATGGCTGTCCTCAAGCCCAGGGTAGGGGCATTGCTGGGGCGCTGCCCAGCCTGCCCCGTTCAAAAGCGTCTGCCTTGTGAGCCCTCCTGCATCGCAGTGACGCTGTTGGAGGAAGTGCCTGAGGTCTTGCCTTCCCACGGAAATCCTTCACCATGTTTTGCAATAAGACTGATATTAAGATAATTTCAGAGTATATTTGGGGAAGTGACTGAGAGCAGAGCTCGGCCCGTCCTGATGGAAAAGGTCCTTTGCTGCTCTCGCCTGGCCATCGTCATGCTCCAGGCTCGTTGTCATCATCAGAAGGCTGATGACAAAAAACAAAAAAGAAAAGGAAAAAAAAAAGACACTCACCTATGAAAACAGCCAGCTTAATTTCCTTTGAATCAGAGGAGGAGAGACTCATCATAAGGAGCACACCAGTACTCCCCACTGTCTTGTACTGTGAGGTTCTCCATGGGGATGCTGAGAAGTCCCCTGTGTGTGCATCTTTATTTCTGTGTGTTATTTCCATACTGACTGCTTGTCTTTTCTGTACTGATCAAGACAGCACACTTTTTCCTGATTGTCTTTTTGCACCAGGCCTTCTGCACAGCCTCGTAATCTTGCATGTTGTATGGGCACTCAGCAGAGACACTGCATCTGCCTAGCTACATATCCTTGGGTTTCTGGAAAAGGTCAAACTGGTTAGTAAGGTCCAGAAAAAATGTCCCATTGTATCAGTTTCCTGCAACTGGAGTAAGCAACATATTGTAATCCAATTCACAGGCATTTTAGCTACAAAATGGTCAAATTGAACCTAGGTGCTGAATAAAAAATAAATATCCAAATTATTCTGTCCTTCAGAAGAAAATTTAAAATAATATAATCACGTCCCCAAACAAAGCAAAGCTTGTTGTAACAGAAATGTCAGGAGTCTTTGCTCAGAATTTGTCAGCTGAGTTGGTGATCAGAGAAAAACAGCGAAGATAGAGAAATATCTGAGGCACCTTATGTATAAGAAATTACTAAAACAACTCTTTGGCTGGAAAAGAAATGACAGGGGTGATATTATAAAAGTCTATAAATTGTAAGAGCCGGGAGAAAGAAAACAGGAGCAATAATTCACTGTTATAAGAAGGAAGTCAGAAGTTCGGAGAAAAGTAGAAAAGAAAATTCTCCACGCAAGCATCGAGTGTGGAGTTCACTGCCACAAGATGTTCTCATACCAAAAGTTTTTATGTCAGCAGAATGAGTAGATGAATTAAAAAGAAAAAAAGAATTTAGCCATTGCTATTATAACAAAAATATCCTCTCCAGAAAATCACTGGAGGCTGGAAGAGCATTCTGGAGCTATTTCTATGTGCTTCTCTGTTTTTATACTCCTTCCTAATTATCTGCTCCAGCCAGGGTTGGAGATCTTTGGTCTGACCTGCTATGGCTATTCTTATGATTCCTCAGTAACCTAGGAGAAGGAAAAATGAGAACACTTAGAATGTGTATACCAGTACACTCCTGAGTCTTCAACTTGCAGCTTCTGTGTTGCAACAGTGATTGTCCCCTTCTGGGTGTCATCAACTGTAGTGCTTCTCTCAGAATTAACTTTGCTTTGATATGCCGACAGGTGCTAATGGGCGCTGACAAGATATCACATTTATCTTTACCTTTCCTTCACTACCAGGCATTCCTCATAGCATTGTAGTTCTGGACCTTATAGGGACATACAACAAAGAAACTCTTCAACTCCATAGCAGAGTGGTATTGGACCACTGCAGAACCTAAGAGCCACAGTATAAATACCAGCTAAGAGCCATGATGACACATCTTCCATGCACTATGCAATAAAGTGAAATCCAGACCCTGGTTTCAGCTGCGTCCCAGCAGAGGTTGACTTCAGCGGGGACCTCAGTCCTGTGTACCTCACGCACTGCCTGCTCTCTCTGCCTCTCCGTTAACAACTTACTATCCCACAGCATCCCAGGTTCTTATAGGAAGAAGCTCCTGGATTTAGGTGTAGTAGCAATTTTAAAATACAAGTGCTCTGTCTCTCCTTTCCTGTTACTACCATCACAGCAGAGCTGGGAGAAATTCATCAGTGTTCACAGCTGAGAAGCCTCAGCCCATTATCAAATGAGTTAGTATAAAGCCTCTGGTAGGGAGAAGTTATTCCCTTTTCCAGGCTTTGTGGAAGAATCTGGCAAGCTGGGAGTTGTAAATTCTTAGGCTGCCTTATCTCAGGTGGTGGTTTTGGTGGGGGGAAAAGCCTCTTGCAGAAATATTTGAAACAACATAAAATCGAAGTAAGTCTTAAAATAACTTGTCCTTTTCTCACAGAATTGGAGGAAGAGGAGACTAATCTAACAAATTTTAATAGCATTTTTGTTGAATTGTTGGTCTGAGGAGTGGATGATCTAGCAATAAGGTAATAAAAGGCTAGGGAGAAGGAGAGCCTGGGGAACATTTAAATGTTTCCACCAGGTTTCATGGTTATTTGCTAAGTGCATAGTTTTCATAGCTATTATTTTTGTGCTGTCTACCTGTTGATCAGTACAAACCTTGCAGTAAATAAGACAGTACACAGGGAATAGGACTGTAAGAAAGTGGGCAGCAGAGGATTTGTGGAAGCAGTTCTGCAGTGTTTCTCGTGGTGTGGGTCTGTCTATGCCCCATGCAGTGCCACGAGTTGTGCGAGAGGATAAAGTGCCAGGCTGACAGAGGGAATGCTGTTGTTCTGGCTTACGAACGTTTCCCTGTTCGAGAGGCTGTGATGTGCTATATAGGGAGGACAGACTCCTAGCTATATTTTCAAAATTTCTAGTATTTGGCTCTCCCCACTCAAAGAGAAGAGAAGGGATTTTGTATCTTAGCATCTCTCTACATTGCTAATAGAAAAATGGGGTCTTTTCCTTATTCCAAATTCAATTTTTACTGTATTGTAAAGGATAACACAAACTTACTTTAAGTAAAAAAACTTGATCTTTCACTGAAAGCAAATATATTTTGGAGTCAAAAATAACAATTGTATACTAAAGTATAGCTTTCCTCAAAGATTACTGACTGTCTGTGAAAATCTGGTATAGAGATCTTTGAGTTCTTTGTGTTGTAGCGTTGGGGGATTCCTTGCTTTTAGTCTGTCCTGCTTGAGCATGAGTCAGAAACAGTCCCTTAAAAAAAAATGAAGAAATTGTGCTGCATGGCTTGATGCCAGTTCTACTGTAGTTCTGCACAAGTTGTTTTGATGGCTGGTGGGTTCAGTGTGTGTATTCAAGAGAGGGAGGGATCAGGCAGGAAAGTGTGGTTGTCAAAAGATGAGGAGATTCTCCAGCTTTGGTTACAGCTTAGCACTGTGCCCAGGGACAGATCTTTTCATACCTATTCAAGCTTTGTGCCTAGAGATACAGTGAGCACAAATATATATGGATTTATATTCCCTCTATGGAATAGTTAACAGGCCTGAGCTGGCTCTGTGGAGGCTTCAAAAGGCTGAGGATATAAAAGGCTTGGTAAGGAAACAGAAGACTATGTCAGTCATGTGTGATAGTAAATCTGTGCTAGTCATTCCTGGGGACTGCTGAAATAGTGTTACACTGCTGTCCTTTGGATGATCCCAGTTCCAAAATTATTAGCAATTCTTTTATGTACATTTGTTTCCTTGCTGCCTCCCAAAGACTGTCCTTTTCTTTGACAGAGGCTTTCAGAGGGATCCTTCCTGTTAGAGTTGCTTTTTGTGCTGGATCAAAGGTGCAGTGCTCTGTGCGCTTAGTCTGGTGTGCTTCAGTACCTGGGATTCTGCATCTTAATATTCAATTCCTAAGAGGCACTTAACAGCCACGAAACAAATGCTTTAAGGCCTTCCTATCCTCACACAGATTTAGCCTGTCCTTAAGTAGCTGTGATTTCTATTAAGTATTGCACATGCGGAAAAAGACTCGCTGCCAGGACAGTTGCACCTTGAGACAGTGAGCACATGGCCCTTTCAGGGAGTGATGGAGCTGGGCCAGGCAGTGCCAAGGGAGGTGTTGATTGCATGACACTTATACCTGTTTTTGAAGAGGAAACTCTGCCTAGAGTGACTTGGCTTATGGTCCTGGAGAAGCCAGAATCTCCCAGTAACAGGCACCAGAACTGGCCCAGCTCCTTTCCTAGCAGTGCAGAAAATTTCTCCATCAGAAAAAAAACTTGCTTTAGTGATAGAAGCTTTCAGAAAATTCTTCTTCTAATGCTGGAGTATCATGCATTGTATCAGACCTTAGACAAATGCAAGAGAAATACTGTACCTGAGCTCCCCTTAGCCTCTTGTGCTGCCTCACCCCTTCTTTCACCTGAAAAACAGAAGAGCAGAAGCAGGAGGAATCTTGGCTCCATGCCTATCTTGGAGCCAAGAGAAAGGGTGATGCTGAAGGCAGATCAAAGGATTAGTAGATGTCTTCTCTCTGTATTCTCCTATCCCATGCTGGTACTGCTGGAGGAAGTGGCTGAGTTTAGTGGCTTACCACTTGGCTTGGCACAGAAATCCTTCACTGCTGTTTTACAACCAAATTCATACTTGAATAATTAAATTGTCAGTATCAGCAGAGCTTGGCCAGTTCAGAAGACACAGATACATTAGGCAGAATTCAAGGAGAAGTTGTTTTCTTTTTGCCATTGCACCAACAGAAGCTGCACTTCACCACTTGCTACACTTTCAGTGTTGTCCCTGAAAGATCCCTGGGAAAGATTCCTTGATGCTCCCACTAGCAACATCATTTAAGTCAGACAGCCCTTGGCTTCAGAAAAATGGAGAAATGTTTCAGTTTTGAGAAGCAGATAAACCTGCATGTGGCTGATTCTGAACCTGTGTTTGCAGGCCTGGGCTCTACCACAGTGGAGGTGAGGGAAGGAGGAAGTCATGGGGTGGTGCACCGCCACATCCCTGTATTTGTGCACGTGCTGGGCAGAGCTAAGGGAGAGAATGGGGAATGTCTTCTGTAGCTTTTTTCCCCTTTGCCTCCATGAGAAACTCTGGAAATTGGGACAAAGCCAACTC